CAGTAAAAGTATCAATAAAAATACTCAGCTCCAGTAAAAGTCATGCATGTAAATAATAAAAGTTCATAATTAACTTAAAGATCATGCTTCAGCAGAGTTTCAGGGTTTGAACGTCTTTGTTTTGTGTGAAGTTTGTCTCGTGAGCTCCTGCAGCTGAAGCAGGAAACAGAGCAGAGTGATAAGACTGATGAAGCTGCAGGTCTGAACTGAACAAGCCGGACACACAGACCATCATCCGTCAGCTATTGTGTATAAATAATCTGCATCTTAATGGATAATGAGTTGAAAATAGTCTGACATTCTTCTTCTACTGCTCTGGAACAAAAGGGTGAATTCTCAGTGAGTGGGAGTTTCCTGTCTCACCCCGTTCTTGGAGAAAACGCTGTTCATCCACTTGGTGAAGGTTTTCTTCTGGACCGTCATCCTCTGCTCCTGCAGCTCCCTGACCCGCCCCGCTCCGTCCTCCTCGCCCTCCATCCTGAAAACAGAGAGGAGACTCAAACACGATTCAAGAGACAAAACCTGCTTCACTTCTGCAGACAAACAAACGACGGCCTCAAAGTACAGCCGACCAACACGAACACAACTGGCTCTAAATGCATCTACGATGAAGCGATCGGTACTGATCGATGGATTCAGGTCCATTCATGTATGAAATAAAAACACACGTTTGACATGTTGGACACATGAATCATGTCCTGATGTACAAAAGAGCGTCTTGGAGTCAACTCAACAGGAAGTCGGACATTTTGAATTTTGTGGTCACTTTTTGGCGATTTAGAGAAAGTTGAATTTGGATTTTTCACGATGAAACGAGAAGAATTTTCAGATAAAAAATAAATACAACTTTTAAAAAAAATAAGAATAAGATAATTAATTTATGAGTTGTTGAATTCAAACCCGCAAACTAACATCATGAGAAATGAACATTACACCAGCTGTTAAAATTCAGTTTTGTTTGTTACAAACATCGTTATAAGTAACTTGTGACTAAAACTACTGAAATAATGTAACTCCTGTAAGAAGGTTCGTTTACATACGTGAGGTTAACGTGATGCACAATCACACAGGACTAAGACACAACAGATAATGAATACTAACCACACACACACGTTTTCTCACCTTCTCTCTGGTCTTTTCCAGCTGGAAAATCCCAGACAAGAGTGAGACCTCCGAAGACGAGTTGAGAAATATGAAAGCTGTTAGAGTCTGAAGTTAGAGTCTGATGTTAGAGTCTGTGACCAACGTCTAATGTAATGTGTGTGAACTTTGAAGCCATTGGATTTACAGCATGAGCAGGTTCACCTGACTGCAGCAGAAACCTGCAGGGGTCAAAGTTCACACCCATACGTGAGTGTGCGTATACACTCACACACACTTCACAGTCAGCTGATAACGTCTCGTCCTCACAATAACAGCTCATTAAATCAGCGGAGATGTGTGAAGCAGTTTGAATGAAGAGTGGATCTGTGCTGATTGAACACATCGTTTAAATCACGTTTTGTCTTTGTATAAACAACCTGATTCAAAAAGTTCTTCATGTTACACAAAAAATCTATTCGAGGGCAATGAACTGAACTCATTAAACAATGTTGACTAAACTATTTAGCCCGAGTTTAAATTTACTTGAATAAAAACTTCACATGGAGCTGAAATCAAGATTGTGATGAATTGTGTAGAATATTATCCGGTCAGGTTGTGTAGACGGTGTTCGTGAAGCAGCGGCAGCAGATTGTCCGGATCCGACTCAACAACAGGAACACGTCAGGAACATGTCAGTGGTTCAGTTCATGTATGAAAAGAGTTTGAATGAGGGAAACACTGAAGTGCACGTGTTGAATAAACTTTATTAGTCTCCAGCTCTGCAAACAGGATGAGCTGCATCATCAGAACAGAGTAACATCCAAACAAGAATGGAAAATAGTTTAAAATCACAAAAATAAAACCTTTCACCTTCACATGAATATGCGTTTGATCAAAACTAAAACCAATAAATCCTCAGAGACAGCTGCTCTGTGGGAAAATGAAATGAACGCAGACCTCGAGCTTCTCAGTGTTTTAAAGGCACCGAGCAACTGTTGGATCCTCGAGGACAAACACGTCCTGTCATAGGAACAGAAGGTTTTAAAAGACAGAGACCTGAAAGATTAAAGCTCTGAAACACGCGGATCTGACAGCTAATAGAGGCTTTGTTTCAAGCAGAAGCAAGGGGGCGCTCTTTCTGAATCATTGAGATGAGCAGGCACTGCTGTGTGCAAATGTAGCTTTGAAATTGTTTTTACAAACTTTGGTCATCGATTAGGTTCCGATATTCACAGAGTTAAAATCCGTGAAGTGGGAACAGGTTGGAAACAAACTGAGGGGCTGCTAATCATCAGTTAGAGAACTGACGTCATCACTGGAGCGCAGCCGCTGGCGCCTTGAGGATCGACATCAGCGTATTTACAGTAGTTCATGTACAGTGTTTTTATACTTTAAATATGAATGTACACAGTTCCAGCTCTGTCCAGGGGTGTGACACTGTTCTATACTAGTGAGGACTTTACAGGCATTTTAGCATCAAGGCAAACAAGCTCATTTCCACCAATAAAATATCCTGATGTCAGAATCATGAGAAACTTTCAACAGTTTATGAAAATGTATTGAAAAAATAAGACTTTCTCAAGATTATGGAAACTTTATCAAAACATAGAAACATTTAAAAATCAAAATCCTTTAACCCTCCTGAGCAGAACTTTATTTTGAAGGTTTCTCATTATGATGACGCATTAGTCAGACGTCTGGTGTTTGACGCACAGATGAAAGGAATCATCACTAAACACATTCAAACCTGCCGTTGCCATGACAACAATAAACTTGTACTTTTACTGTCAGTCCTCACCGTCTTGTGGAAAACGCTGCAATCATGTGACTGTGTCTCTGACATCACAGGTCACATGGTTGAACCTCATCGTCCTGTTTTGATGTTTTGTTTGATTTTCATTGGCCGAACCTCGCTGCTGCAATTAAAGGCACATTCACACACTTTCACATGATCAGATTTACTGCAGCATCAACTCCTTTCAGTCATGACAGGAAGTGGAAAAAGTCTCCTCCCCAGCGGAGGTTAGAATTTACAGAGATGAAAAGAAGACACAAAGGCAGCAGAGGATTCTACGGAGAGGAAGGTGTGCTGTCAGCAGAGGTCAGAGGTCACCGCTCTGCTCGTCTCTGCTGATGTTTACAATACGAGGAAACAGAAGCGAGCGGACACGTTTCAGGACGCCGTCCAACCCCGAGGGACGAGTTAACAGCGAGCTGAAGCGGCCGCTCTGCTGTTGAAACAGGACGGACTGTGACCTTTGACCTCTGAGACTACCATGGACCCAGCATCCTGGTATGGGACTGCGTCTGAACTCTATGGTCACTTGAGGAGGCGCTAAGTAACGGCTTCCTGCTGCAAAACACATAGTCAGTCAGATTTACAATGAACATAAAGACGACTCGGGGGGAGACGCGACCTCGTGACTCGTTCTGTAGGAAAATAACTCCATCTAAAAAGAATCATCGCATCCTTCAACATTTCACCTTCAGGTCAGAAGAGAAGTGATGATTTCCCTCAACACAAATGAAAAGCTCACTTCTGACGAGTCTCTAAATCTGTTTATGTGGATTCCGGCATGAGCTCGATAATTAAAACATCTGCAGCCGTGACGCAGTGAAGCCGACATGAGACTTTATGAAAATAATAAATCTTGGTCACTAGTAGAAAAGCAGCTTCGGCAGCAGATGTTTGACCTTCAGCTCAGGAGGAAGTTCCCCTCGATGCTTCGCTGTGGACGGATCATCGCTGCTGCTCCTGTAACGTTCATCTCATGCTACAGAGGAAGACTCGAGCCACGTGAAAACATTTTACTCTGCATTTTTCACGTGGCTCGAATCCTCTTCTGGACGATCGGCGTCTCACGGTGGACAACAGGAACATTCGTGTTCCTCAGTTTACAGGAAACTCTATAGCTCGGCTTTTGGATGTATATGGCCTTCAGAATAAAAGCACAGAGTTATAATTCATATAACGTCATAGAGTAGTGTGGATACGTGTCTGTAGCAGATTTGATGCATTTTCAAACTAATACGTAGTCGTGTGGCTGTATCCTGATATTTATCTCCACTGCACGGACCAACAAAACATCAGCGACAGGAGGTCGTGTCGCCTCCAGATGTCGCCCAGATGTTGTGAAGAAAGAATATGAAGCAGGAAATATCAGGATACACTGTTCTCTTTCACAATAAAAGCTTTGTTTGTTGCTTTAAAAAAGGTGATATATAAACTCTTACCAAAATAAAAGCTGATTATGTGGACTCAGTTACTGACGAGATCATCTTAGTGATGAGCTCCTCAGTAGAAAACACCTGAACTTTGACCTCTGACCCTCTGTAGCAGTCTGCTGACAGGTTCCCTCAGTCTGAACATCAGCAGCAGTTGACCTGTGGTGTTTTTTTACAGTTGGACTTCCTCTCAGCTCAGTCTCTCCGGTGGCTCGTTGGCCGCCCTGTTAGCGCTCTAGTCCTCGGTGTGGTTGTACAGGGCGTCTGCGGTGGGGTTTTTGCGGTGGGACGGGGGCATCAGGTGATCCGGCAGATCGGTGGGCAGCTCGTATCCCTCCAATTTGATCTTGATGAGGTGCTGCGCGAGGGCAAACTCCTCATCGTCCAGCATCCCGTCGTGGTCGCAGTCGGCCAGCTTCCAGATTTTCCCCAGGACGGTGTTTGGCAGCCGCGAGTTCATCATCTCCTTCTTGGCGTTGACGCCGGTGATCTTGCCGTTGACAGGCATCAGCGTGTAGAAGATCTCGTCGTAGCGGTGTTTGTCGCGGCTCACGATCCAGTCCTCAGTGTCGGCCCCGGCGCTGATGCCCTCGCCGTAGCCTCGGCCGAAGGGTCCTTCCTGAGAGCCCTCGAAGGCTCCGCCTGACACCAAGGATGGCGGCTGCTTGGACTCCTCCTCTCGGATCATCGCCATCAAAACAGCGATTTTTGAGGCTAGCATCTTATCCACCGACTCGATGAGCTTCACCTTCAGGGACGGGAACTTGCTGAAGTCGTAATGCTGCAGCATATCCTGTAGGGGGCGACAGACACACAAAACTTAAAGTCATAATTAAATTCAACTTATTTTTTGAAGTTCCCAGTCGCCTGTGAATCTCAGGCTCCACCCACAATAATACTTCTTCATTTCAAAACTCATCACTGTTGCTATGGTTACGCCGGCGTCCACACAACTGCAGAGTAAAAACAAGATATTTAATAATCGCAGATATTAAGAAAAATCTGGGAACCATAGAAAGAGAATAAATAAGAAAATAAATTAGAAAGTGCACGTCTTTCTCTCCACTGACAGGGGGCGATGAAAAGCTGAGAATCATCCACTGGACGTGAACATGACTCCGAGCTGCAGGTGGACGCAGTGTGCGACTCCAAATATCTGTGTGTGTGTGTGTGTGTGTGTGTGTGTGTGTGTGTGTGTGTGTGTGTGTGTGTGTGTGTGTCTTTGTACACATCTCACCAGGGAAAAGACAAACACATCCTCTCTTGCCAAAAATTAGTGAATACAATTGAGGCTGGGGAATGAGCACAAACACACAAACACACAAACACACACACAGACACACACACTCTCTACAGGCCTGAGACACCAGCTGCAGACTGTGTGTTTTTAAGTTGGGTCACTCTGTCCCTGCTGCCTTCAAACATCTGCCTGACACCAGTAAACATCTGGATCCCGTCGTCTTGGGGTCACAGGTCGTTCTCAGACTGTTACACAATGACACGCGTGATGAAGCATCTTAAGCTCCTCCTGCAGCCACACGTGGTCATTAACTGTGTTTTCATGTAAAAACAAAGTGAATCAATCCTCTGCTGAAACATACTGTTCAGAGTTCTTCATGTTTTAAACACTGGAGATAAACTCTGGTTGTTAAGAACTGATCTCAGTTCAGCTTCACTCGTCCACTGGAGCTGATGGAGACTCTCAGTCACTTGTTCTCTCAGGAGATGAACCCACTCAGCAGAGTGAGAGAACAGACGCTCAGGGAGCGAAGGAGGAAACGTTCTCCATGTTCTCACATCAGACTCACTTTGATCAAACTGAGGTTTAAGGTGAATAAAGTTTCACAATGTTTGTGAAGAACACTTGTCGTGACTGTGTGTTTCTTCGTACCTGCATCTTGGTGACGTTGGGGAAGTCTCCGGGGCTGATGTGATGCTCCCTCTGCAGGATGGTGTAGATCTCCGGCAGCCTCATGATCAACTCCTCCTTCTTCTTCTCTCGTCCAAACAGAGACGGCATCTCCTTCTTCAGGTAGCTGATGATGTAAGCGTGCACCTGCAACGAGAACAAAAACAGATCGAACTCCTCAGTCATGAAGAAATGATTGAGAGGAACTGAATCGAGCCCACGGGCCGTTGACGCGCTGCTGACATCAGCGTCTTGTCGTTATTTTTATAACAACTCATCAGAGGTGATATCAACTTCAGAGCTCAGTTTCAGTCGAGCAGAACGTTCCATCAAACTAAATGATGTTCCTCTCTGGAACAGCAGGTCAAACACGAAAGAAAGAAAATACACCAAGTGGACATTGGACAAATATTAACTTAAGAGCAGTGGACAAAATCTCATTTAATGAAACTAAAGTGTGGGTGAGTCAAGAAACAGAAGGACAGGAGAGTGAACGGGTCGGAGGGGAAACTACGCCACTGCTGATGGATGGATTCAGACCAGGAGGGAGGGGGGGGGGAAGGAAAGGAGGGAGGCTTCATAAGAGGAGGGAGTGGGGTCAGTGAATCACATCACAGTCATTAATCAACAGTCAGGAGAATGAGGGGCGTGTCAACATGAGAATACTTAACAAACAACAGGTGAGACTGAAGCGTGACATCAGAGCAGCAGGTCAAAGGTCACTGAGCTTAGTTTCATTCAATAATACGTCTTCATTGGTTTTAATCACAGTGAAGTTCTAATTAAAAGTTTTAATGAAGAAACCTCAAGTTTATTGTCGGTGGTGAAGGAGGCGAGGTGAGATTAAGTCTCCTTAGAAGGGTCCAGATAAGTGAAGGAGGCGAGGTGAGTGACCAGCACTCACGTCTTTGTGCTAAGCTAGGCTAACGTGTGGACATGTGAAAACTCTTCTCTCGTCACTTCATGTTGTTTCTTCTGAAATATTCACTCAGTAAATTGTTCCTGGGATTATTTTGTTCAATCATTTTATATAAATGTGTCTTCACTGGACTCAGAGGTTCAGACGGAGAGGACACATCAGAAGACATTTGATCTGAGGGACCACATTCCTTCTTCTGTCCCAGACTCACACACATTCCTGAGGCGTCAACGCCAACCACAACATGTCACTTCCTGTCTCACCTTGGCCAGACGGGCTCTCTTAATGAGGTCGTTGAGTTTACGGAGGGCAGCGTTCCTCGGGAGACTCTGGATGTCCTTAAACAGGTCCTGAGACTCCGCCTCGAAGAGACGCCTGAGACAGGAGGGTGAGAGGGTGAGAGGGTGAGGGAGGGAGGGAGGGAGGGAGGGAGTGAGTGAGGGAATGAGTGAGGGAGTGATT